CATCTTTTCCCAAGGAACATCTCATTATGACTCTGATAACCTAGTTTTTGCTTCAATGTGTACAAGAAAAGTACATTTTAAAAATGCACAGATATGCCATCAAATGGCATGCTTGTCTTAGAAAAGCATTCAAAATATATACGTCCATAGATCTAATAAAATGATTCTCATGTCTCGGCTTGAATGTTGGTTATAATCCTTGCAAGATGGTAAAGATGTTCCCGAAGTACTGTAGCCATTTACTAAGTACCTAGTGAGGTTATGGGACCTGCCAGGCAGTCTTGCTGGGCTGGCGGCCCGAGCCGGCTCCCTCTTCCACAGCTGTCCCAGGGCCGGCTTTTCTGCCCACTGAAGGCTGCCCTGTCAGCCCTGAGCTGGGTCTGCATTTGAAGGGGCTGGACTAGGGAGTATCAAGCCTCAGCCCAAAGAGACCTGGGAAGGGGAAGTGGCAGGTGACTGCTGTGAGACTGGGACAAAGCGTTTTCCTGCAACGTGCCATGGAAGTTTCCTTTACCGAGAAGGGTGGGGAACGGAAAGGGAAGGGACGCTCCCAGACTTCCCGCGGGCACCTTTGTTCACAGCTTTCTCCTAGGGGTGCGAATGTTTAGGTTCATGTTCTGAAATGTTGCCTTAGCAGTGGGGAACGATCTGCAGATCCTCGGCCAGGGACCCAAGCTGATCACATGTGGTGAGGACTCCGTGTCCAGGAGCACCTTCTCTTTAGGAGGGGCGGATCTGAGAGATGGTCCCGCCACTACTAGCCGCTAGTGACCTTCTGAATTCCAGCTTCTCCAGAGACCCCTCCCTGGTCCTCTGAGCTGGTGTCTGTCCTTTGCACTGCTCGCCCTCTGTGGGCATAGCTCCTCTTCCGCCACCTCATTGATGAGGCTGCAGTGGCTTCGATGCCCTAAGCAATCCTTCCAAGAGGCCCTCTGTTTCATTAGACCCATGCTGGGCCATCTGGTTTTCTGGAAAGGGGACTTTGGAGTCAGGTAGATCTGGGTTCAGATCTTAGCCTCATCATTTATTTTTTTCTTCTTTTCCTTTTATTTATTTATTTATTTATTTTCAGTTTTGCCGCAGGGTATGTGTACTTGCGGGGAGGCAGGTGGGTGGGGAGTGAGAAAGCACCACTTGAGGGGATAACCACACCCATGACCCCCCCCACACACACACTCTCTCCTTTTGGAATTTCGGACACATACACAGGTGTGCCCAGCATACCTCTCCAGCTGCCAGGTTCAAGACTCAAACTGCACCATGTGGGATCTGGCTTCTTCAACTACCACACCACTGGCTGGCTCTGGCCTCGTTGACTAATAGTGTAACCCTTTGGCTGGAGACCTTCCCTCTTTAACCTCAGTGTCCCCTTCCGTACAGCAAGGACAGTCATTCTCTCACAAAGCCATACTGAGGGCCGTGTGGAGCATTATTTGATGTGCAGCACAGAATGAACACTCTGTCAATGGGAGTCCTCACTCATCCTGCTGTAGAAAGTTCTCCTCTGGGGAGACTCTGAACTGCTGGCTTCTGGCTGGGCTCCTTGGGTGAGAGGAGGATTACCATCTAAGCCCAGAGACGAGTCATAGATGATGTGTGTTCTCGGGAGCTCACTGGTAGAGAGCCCAGCAAGCAGAGACCACATAATGTGTGTGTGCAATAATAGAAATGGACTAATAAGAGGTAAGATTACTCCAGGTGGAGGAGAGTGGGAGAGGTCATCAAGCACGTGGGGTTTTGGAGGTCGAATAGGAGTTTTACAGGGGGCGATAAATCATAAATAGTTAACAGGGCACTCTATCTATTAGAAATGAAATTTTATTGTGTTTATGTACGTATGCTAACTTCTTTTGACTCCTGCCAATACACTGATGTAGTCCAATTCAGCTCCTCACTTTCCTTTTCCTCTCAGTTTGCCTCCTCCTTTCCATGCACCCGCCCCTCCCCAGCCTTAAAGTACTCAGCCACTAAACATCTCTTAAAAAATGTTTTCGTGCTTTGGTAATTCCCCAGAGGATGCTATTTCACGCTACTAAGGTTTTACAAGAGCTTTGCTGAAGCTGTTCTTTTTCCATTCCTTTTTCTTTGGTATGAACAAGTTCGTGTGCTTACTCACCAGTGAGCAAACTGCCACCTGTTTGATGTTTGCAGTGTGACTCCTGTCACCAGACACGTGTTGCCCACTTAGTCCCTAGCGCATCGGGACCTGGAAAACGGGCTGGTGTCTCTTTTTTACAGACAAGGTAACTGAGGCTCAGAGACGTTAGTACGCGGAATACCACAGGCATGAGTCGGGGAGCCACGGCTGAACTCCAGGGTCTCCTCCCTGTCCTCTGCCGTGCGCAGGGGCCCGCGCACAGTAGGTGTGCAGCCACCTTTGTATGAACTCAGGGGAGAGCTGCCATGCTCCTGTCAGTTCGCTTCATGCTGCACGTGGTGTGGACTCTGTTACCTCCTACCTTCAGTGGGGCCCCAGAACCACGCTGCAGGTATAACCAGTGAAAAACACGACACCCCTTCCCCCTGCTTGTGTTTCTCAGGTACTTGGAATCGGTTAGACTTAAAATGTAGTCGTTTGCCTCACCTCTGCCTTAAGGGATTTGGAGAGGAGAGCAACAGTGCTTCCAGCCTGGGAACTGGGAGCTTAGGTTCCGGGGCTTCCGTTTAACTGCGGGTACGTAGTGCCCCTCTCTGGCTTTATGGTCCTAGCTGCAGCCCGGAGCTCGGTGGGCCTGAGGCCCTGCCCGCTGTGTGGTCCTGCACACCCGGTGAGGCTGTGGAGTGTGCAGGAAGGGACGCCAGCGCTGGTGTTGCCTACCGGCCCTGGAATCTGGCTCCGTGACTGTAGGCCGGTCACTTCTCTGTGCTCCTGCTCGGCTGTGGAGGCTCCGGGACCTGAATGAGCAGCGTGGGCTTCTTTCCCTCTGACTACTCCTGAGTGTGTTGGTTCGGGGCTCGTGGGTGTTCGTACAGCTGAAACCCGAAGCCCCGTCAGATGCAGTGTTAATTACACCCCGCAGCACCCTGAGATCCTCAGCCCTTTTCTTGAAGTGCTTTCCTGTTAAGAAATCCTCCAGGGAAGGGACCCCATTGAGCTTCATTAGTGCCTCGGGACGTGCCTTGTTTTTCCACTGTTCTCCCCTTGCCGACAGCGACAGCAGCTGCCGGTGAGTCAGTTTGCGTGTAAGAGATTTCTTCACGCCTCTGCCGAGAGGCAACCTCCATTCACTTAGCAAATGGTGGCCATGCACAGGCGTGAGGTGGGAGGGGCGCAGAGAGGCGTGTTCAAGGGGCTCCCGGGGAGAAAAGGCGGGCGGTGGGCGCCGTGGAGGAGAGAGGACTGTGGCTGTCTGGCCAGGGTCAGGAGCAGCCTCGGCGAGCAGAGCTGACTTCTAAGTGGGACTCATGGGACTTGGAGGGGCCTCCCAGCGTTAGCAGTCTGCAAAAGGCACCTGGAGCAGGAGGCGGCATGGGCAGAGCCTCCTGGTGGGAGGTGACACGGTGGGTGCATGCCAGGGGCTGGGGTGAAGAGGTGGAGGACCTGAGCTGCCACACCTTGGCAGTCATCCACCAGCTGGTGAGCCCCACATCTTTGTCACCAGCCCGGACCTTTATCCTGAGCCCCCAACTCTCATGCCCACTGCCCACCCAGCAGCTGCAGTTTGATTTTAATGGGCACCCCAGCATGACTGAAAACGGGCTTCACTTGGTCTTTTAAAAAGAAGAAGCAGGGGACCAGCAGATGGCGTAATGGTTATGTCTCTGAACTCCCAAGTAGTCAACTGCAGTTCGAGTCCCAGACCCAGTGGCTTGAGACTCATAATGGATGTGTATGCATGAGTGCCCAAAACCCCCGAGAGGAGACTGGAAAAGAAGGGATTTCAGCATGGCCATACCCCCAGGGAATGATTTCTTGTTTTCTGTCTCTGTCTCCCCAGTGAGTGTATGCACCCTATAGCAAAAACTTATTTAAAAAAAAAATTGAAACAAATGAACAGCCTTCCCCATGTTATGTAGTGTCGCCATTTACCTGGTTTCCCAGGCCCAAAACGTAGATGCCACCCGTGACTCTGTTCCTGTCCTCATTCCTCATGTCAGCCGTTTGTATGTCTTAAGAGCCCTTCCTTCAAAGTCTGTCCCGGCGGCTGCCACCCCTGTCTACCTGGGCCAGACCTCACCACCTCCCAGCAAGTCATCCTGCTTCCCCGCTGACGCCCCTGTCCTCAGGTTTTCTTGTAGTCAGGCCAAGTGATCTTTTATTTTTTTAAAGAATTATTTATTTAATTTTATTTATTCATTGATTCTTTTTTAATTTGACAGAGAGAGAGAAAGTGAGAAAGCAAACCATCAGGTTCCAGACTTGAACCATGGTCAGCCGTGTGGGAGTACCCAGCACTTTAACCACCATGCCACCTGCTGGTCCCAGGCCAAGTGACATTTTTAAGGGTGTCATTCTCCTACTAAAAACTCTCCTGTGACTTTCTGGGCCCCTCTGAACAGGATCTAGACTCCCCGCCATGGCCTGCTCGGCCCTCTTCCCTCTGAGCTCACCTCAGCACTCTGAACTCCATTTCAGCTACTGTTCTTGCAGCTCCTTCTTTTTGCCCCAGGGTCTTTGCATTTGTTGCCCTTGGCCTGGATCCTTCTTCCTCCTCGTCTTTGCCTGGCTCACCTTCACTCCATCCTGGTCTCTGTCCAAGAATTCTTTCTTGCTTGTCTAAAGAAAGCACTATCCTGGGACCAGCAGACGGTGTTGTGTTTACATCGCTGGACTCCCATGGAGTCAACTGTGGTTCGAGTGTTGGACCCAGCGGTTTAAAACTCATGCCAGGCGTGCGCGTGTGTGTGCGTGTGTATGTGTGTGTGCCCAAAATCCCAAGAGGAAAATGGAAAAGGCATTGCAACGTGGCCATGCCCCTTGGGGGGGGAGGTGATTTCTCACTTCTGTCTCTCCAGTGAGTATACGATCCCTATGGCAAAAAAACTCTCTTAAGAAAAAAAAAAAAAAAGGAAAAGAAAGCACTATCTGTCCCTCCCTTTCCCACGGTCACTGTCCCCTCACCCTGCGCTGCTTTTCTTGGCACTCACCTCTCCCCGACCTCCGACTGTACCTTGTTTGTCTTTTTGTTCGTCTCACCCCGCTGGAACGTAATCCGTGAGGAGGGTCCTGGTGCTGTTTATCACAGTCACTGCTCCAGGGCAGGAAAAGAGCCTGGCACACAGTAGGTAATCAGAGGACATTAGATGGGATGGCTGAATGAGAAAAATGAATGAATTCAGACAGGCCTGCCTGCGGGCTAAGACTTGGGGTTTATCCCACCGGCAGTACGAATCTAGTGGGCATCTTTCAGGAGGTGAGTGACGTGGTCAGCACTTTTATTTTAGAAAGCCAGCTGGTGGCAGTGTGGGGGCTGGACTGGAGGAGGGTGGCAGCAGAACGGCTTCAGTGGCTGTTAAAATGGTCCAGGAGATTGTTGCTGAGCCTTGTGCCGGAGCTGTGGGGATGGAGCAGAGGGGACATGTGACAGGACCTAGAGACCTTTGTGTATTTTCGGTTTCTACGGCGATAACTTGACATAGCAATTCCTTTACAAGAAAAGCAGGAGAGGAAAGCTGGTCTAGGGAGAGGCTGGCGACCCTCCGTGATGCCCTGTCATCAGCGCACTAAGCCCTGGGGTGCACCCCCTGCTGTGCTGTTGGCCAGCCGGGGGGTGGCTCTGATACTCAGTGGCCTTCCCCATTCAGTCCTCAGTAAGTGGGTGGCAGTCCTCGCTAGCCACCAAGTTCCATTTTTCTAACTGGGTCCTTAAGTGACTTCATTGATAACCAAGGAACTTAAAGGCAGGTGCCTTGTGGCGTGCCATGGCGCCACAGGGTGTGTATTTTTCAATAGCCATCGTGCAGCACCACACCAGGATAATGTAACCCCGTGCGTACACAAAATGTATGTCAGAGAAGCACCAGAGGGTGACAGGACATGCCCCAATGTAAATCCACACCATAATTTTTATTTATTCAGAATGCTACCGTGGGTGCATAATGAAGTACACATTTATAAACACATTATCTGTAGTCTCACGTGATTGTGAACACACAGTGAAGTGACACTACCCCACTGTGGGAACAAGACAAAGACCGAGAAAGGGATTCCGGAGACTCACAGAACGAAAAAGGGGATCCCCATGCTGCAGACCTGGTAGTAAGTCCCAGCGGTCATTAAATAGGTCAGGCATTAAGTCATTAAGTGAGATGTGGCTGTAATCAACATGGTGGGACCAGTGAGTGTTAGTCTTTTTTTTTTTTTTTTAAGAGAGAGATTTTTGCTATAGGGTTCACGGGCTTGCCGTAGAGACAGAGAGATAGAAAGCGAGAAATCACCCCCCAGGGGAGATGGTCACACCGCAATCCCTTCTCCTTTATTCCCCTCCTGGGATTTTAGGCATACACCTGCGAGAGTTTTAAGCTGCTAGGTCTGGGACTCGAACCACGTTAGACTACATGGGAGTCCTGTGATGTAACCATTACACCACCTGCTGGTCCCTGTGAGTGTGAGTCTTCTTCCTGCAGGTGGGCCCATTGACCTTTGCGCATGACAAGCCGTGCTAAATCACTGGCTTCTCCTTGCAGTGGGTCCGTGTTGGACTCCAGAGCAGACTCTCTGTATTAGACTTGTCAAGTCCTAGGTGGCATCTCCAGGTGACCAGGGCCTCAGTGTCCCCCCTACTGCAAACACACACAGAAACACTTGCTCTCCCTCCGCCATCAGGGGGTCGAACTGACGGCACAGGTTCCTGGCCCAGCCATAGCCATATTGTCCGGTACGGCCCTTTTGAGAACTTTCGTTTTGGTCTTGAATGATTCCTTCTTGCGAAAACTCGATCCTCTCCGAGTGTTGATGACAAGCCTTTCATCTCTGAATGAGCACGCCCTTCCCCATTTGCCAAGCTGTCTCTCTGTATGTCTAACCAAGGTATGTCATTCTGTCTCTTAAGCCCTGGTCCAAAGTTCCTAATCCTGTGAGGTGACACACCATCTCATCTGTGTAGCTGGATGTCACCTCCTATTCCTTCTCTCCCTCCTGAAGGTCCTGATGTGGGAATAACATGAACAGCTGTACCAGAGCCCCTCCCAGCCAACACCTAGTGTGCTAGGCCTTGTGTTAGCACTTTACAGGCATTCCACCTAATCCTCACCTCCTCGTGGGCGTAAGGATTGCTGTCTTTCTGCAGACGAGGAAGCTGAGGCTCGGCCGTGCAGTGGCGCTTGGTAGTTAAGACTATAGTGGTGCTTCTTTTGTTTCCTTTCTGAGTTTGCAGTGATCCAAGGTCAACTGTGGTTCGAAAATAGGTGAATATTGTACAATAAGATTTGTTTTTTGGGGGGAGACCACATCACATAACTTTTCTTATATTTTATTATAGTATTTTATTACAGTATATTATTGCAATTGTTCTATTTTTGGATTATTGTTCATTTCTTACTGTTCCTAGTTTATCATTTAAACTTCATTATAGGTATGTATATATAGGAAAAGACACGGTATAAATACAATTCAGTACTGCCTATGCTTTCAGCCATCCACTAGAGGTCTTCGGATGTACCCCTCCCCCCATGGATAAGGGAGGCCTACTGTAGAAGCTTGAAGCCATAGAGACCCAAGATCGAATCCCAACTAGCTCTGGACCTTGGACATGTTACTTAATCTCTTTAACCTTCAGTTTCTAAAAACGAAAGGAGGTAATATAAAGAGTTCATAGAGTCACTGTGAAAATCAAATGAGAGCATGTTATTTCACAATTGTTACTATGTGCTAGACGTTCTGCTATCGTAAATACCAGCTCATTGCAAATGCTGTTGTCCTTGCCGTCAACACCACCGCCGTCCTTCTAAGGCTGCGTAACCCGTATGTAGCGGAGCCCCGCCTGACTTCAAAGCCTGTCCTTCAGCCATCCCACACTGTTGCTCCCAAGTTCATCCCATCTTAGACTTGTTGGTCCCTAAGTGTGCTCTCCTGGCCTTCCCTGGTTGTGCTACTTGGCCCTGTGTGGGCACTGGGCTCAAGCTAGCGCTCGGAAGTTTCTCAGCCCCTTGGCCAATAACCACTCATCAGTCATTGACTGAGCAGTTCCCAGAGGCTCGATTGGCTGGGCAAGAGTCTGGACAATACCTCTGGGTGGTCAGTGTAATCTCGTTTACTGTGAAAATCAGGATCTCTTCTCCTATTGCTGTGTGTCCGCAGGATTGCCCTAATAAAGTAGGAGCAGTAGCAGAAAGGGTTTGTGTGTACTCCTCATCTTGTGGGGTCTCCGATCATTTCATGAAATTGGTGAAATTTAAAGACCCCTTTCTCCAGAACAATACCAGCAACAAAATGCTCCTCCCAAAGCTTGCCTGAGGCTCCCAGCAGAACATTTCGGACTCAGGAGGCCGGCGAAGTGCACTTGGTCATTCTGCTGCTCCTCACAGGGCTGTGGAGGGTTAGTGTCTCTGCAGGACTTCTGTATTGGAGGGTTCTGGGGCATCCTGGTAGCATTTGGGAATACCGGCTTCATTGATTCTAGCCGCCATTTGCATTTGTTTCCGCTATTGGAGAAAGGTACTCACACTGGAGCTGGCCGTCCGTCTCGAGGTGCACCTGCTGGCTTGCACGTATGTCTCAGCCAGAGCCTACATCTATCAGGGAAGCGGGGGAGGCTTTTTGGCCCCAAACTTCAGACGAATAGGAATTTTCTTGTGATTTATAGATTATAAAGGAGATAAGCCAACTCCTGCAGGGTTTAATGTTCTCACTGCAGGTAAACAGAATCTTCTACTCTCAAATTTAAAATTTGTACGTTCGATCTTAAAAAGCGTGGTGCCGCCCTTTTCTGTCTTTTCAGTTTTCAAGGTATGCTTGGGGAGAGGGCGGATTCCAAGCACCTTAACGCCCCAACATCAAATTTGCTTGCAGGCCTCTCCTTGGAATCTTTCCAGGAGTCAACCTGCTGTTTCTAACAGTGACAAGAATGACGGTTACTGCCGATGGCTCCACTCCCTGCCTGGCTCTGAGGCCCCGCAGGAAGACAGGACAGAACCCTTCTCTCGAGGAGCCCCGTAGTCCTCCTTCCTCTACCTAGTGTCAGTTTCTTTCGTAGGTAGACGTGAGACTTGGATTTGGGGTGCGAGAATCGGATCTGTCATGTATGAGATCATTTGGCACAGAGTTCTTTCCGATAAATAGTTGCCTGCACGTCCCAGTTTACCTCCTTCACTTCTCCTAGGTTATAAAGCAGGACGTGCCCCCCACCAAGGCAGGATTAGAACTCTTCACGCCTGCCTCTGTATTCCAGCACCGCATGCGTTGGTATGCAGCCTCAGGCAAAACACCCTTCCTCCCTGGGTCTTGGTTTTCTCGTTGTACAGGAGAGCCCATAGTTTGACCATGTCCCATTGCGGTGAGGACAGAGGGAGGCCAGTGTAGAGAGCCGTGTCCAGAGGCCCAGCAGGTATCTGACTCTTTGGTGGATAGTTATTGAGCACCCACTAATGGCCAATCGCTGTCCTTGATGCTCTGGAAACAGTCAAGAACAAGACAGGGTCTCTGTTGTCCTAATGCTCCTACGAAAGGTTATTTCAGTCATTAAGACCGTGGGACCTGGGGGTTGCCTCGGAGCTGGGGGTTGGGGAGAGACCTCTCTGAGGAGGCTCAGTGCTCTGCGACCTCCAGGCCGCAAGTTTTCCAGCACTTTCTTTCAAACATTTTGTCCTTCTAAGTCTATGGTCCCAGCTTTGAGTCTGGGTGCTCCGGCCACACAGTGCTTCCGTTCGCCACTGGGTGCACTTGTTCACTAAGAGCTCCCGTTCAGTTTAAGCTCCTGGGAGGGGGACCCAGGTCACAGGGTCTCCTCCAAGGGGGAGGCGGGTAAGTGCTTCTCTGGGAAGTACTCACTCAGGGTCACCGAGCGCTGGACGAAGCGCTTTGTGTGAGGAGGGGAGACAGTTCGTTTCTAGCCTGAGCCCATTTTGCTCCAGTGCTGTTTGAGTGTTTTGGTTTCTAAGGAGCTAGACGTAATTCTCTCTCTGTGAGCGTGTGGCTCGCTGCAGTCCCCTCAGCGTGTGGCTCGCTGCAGTCCCCTCAGCGTGTGGCTCGCTGCAGTCCCCTCAGCGTGTGGCTCGCTGCAGTCCCCTCAGCGTGTGGCTCGCTGCAGTCCCTGGGTTCTCTGCGCGCAATACTCTCAGGGCTTGTTGAAGCACCCGTGGGCCAGTGGCCAAGACAGTCCCAACTCCTGCCCTGGCATTCGAATAGCAGAGCAGTAAGCCTGACACCCACTGGCAACCATATTGCCCCTCTCGGGGACGGCATAGATGCCCAAACGGCCCTCGTAGCCCATTGTCTTAGGCAGCAGTTACCCACACTGAGAGACAAGGAAGCCACTGAACAGAAGGACAGGCTGCCTCTGACTCACCTGGCTTGTCGGTTTGGTGACCTACTTCTGTTTGACCTGGATTTGCTCAGCACAATTAAAGACGCTGTCATTGGACATTCTTCAGCTCCCCAATTGAAGTCCAGCATGTGACAGCCTGGGCTCTTAAACGTACACAGGACCTGGCAGATGGAAGGATGGGCGGGAGGTTAGTTTTTCACTTACCTCGGAATTGTAATTCTATCACAAGGAAAGGGCTTAATTTCAAGAACATGGAACAATTATTTGAGACTAGATGCGATGCCAGAGCAGCAGGCCTTGATTCCTGCTACGGGCGGCTTAATCAGGAAATGGCCTAGATGGCCGCCTTTCAAGTAGGTCCTTGCAGTCGCTTGGCAACAGCACAGGGTCATAATTGGAAGAATTTGGCTCTGAGTGTCGGTGGGTGTTTACAGTGCACTATAGGGCAGGGCTTCTCTTATTTATAGAATATTTTGAGCAAAAAAGCAACAGAAGGCTGAAAAGCCACTAAATCTCGATTTATTTTTAACAAATTCCATTTTTCCCCTCATCCCAGAAGGAGGACTGAGTTATTAAAAAACAGTAAAAAATACATCATTGCAGAGTATGCCATATCTAATTATGGGGCTGCCAGCGTCGGCCCGCAGCCACATTGGAAGAGCTTTGCAAATCAAGCAGCCATTCAATCCGTGAACTTATATGACTCCTCTTCTTCATTTAGAGGGAGGGCGCAGTTATTGGCAAGTGAGTGCTGACCGGGAAGAGTTCTTCCCTGGCTGAAGAGGAGCTGGGAGGTGTATTTAGAGAATAGTGAGCTCATGCTCTCGAAGGGAGGTAAGGTCATTCCTCATGCCCCAGCACCCGCCCCACAGCTCCAACTCCCCACTTCAGGTTCCGGCTCCTGGCAGGGGTGCGACTGTGCCACCCCAGCCCTGAGTGACAGTTACCCACACTGTCATAAAATACATAACCTGGGCCGGCAGATAGCGTAGCGGTTTTGTTACTGGGCTCCCGCATGACCAACTGTGGTTCCAGCCCTGGACCCAGTGGCTTGAAACTCACACCGGGTGCGTGTGCGTGCGTGCCCAAGATCCCAGGAGGAGAATGGAGGAGAAGGGATTGTGGCGTGGCCATCCCACCAGGGAGTGATTTCTCACTTTCTATCTTACAGTCTTTCTCTTCTCCTCCCCCCACCCCCCCAGTGAACACATCTTAAGGCAAAAACTTCTACCAAAAAAAAGGGATAGAACCCAGCACTTTCTGCCTGTGTTCTGGTAGTGTGTTGAGGAGAATGGGACTTCAGAGACCGCCTAGTTTGAACACATCTTTCTAGAATTGGGGAAATTGAGGCCCAGTGAGGGCCGTGACCTGCCTCGGGTCCCACTGCAGGTCTTGGCAGATGCAGGCTGGGGTGGTGGTTTCTGCTTTTCCCATGGAATGGCCGACAGGCGGTGGGTTAGGCAGCTCTGATCGCCATGCTCCAAGGGGTAGGTCAGGGAGAGGCTACCCTGCACTTAGGCCGCCCAGGGACATGTGGACAGCAGGTCTTGAGTGCCGGAAGTGGCGAGTGCGGGGAGCGTGGAGCTCTGTGTCTGACTGGGGTGAGGGTGAAATGGGCTGCTCTCTGGCCCACCTGGGGAGACTGCAGAGATGCTGTAAAGCTCTGCCGTGGGAAGGGTGTGGCGCTGCTGTGTGTGCCGGAGGAGGGAGGTGTGGAGTGGAGAGCGGAGGGTCACAGTGTGGGTAAATACTGTCACTCCGAGGATCCCTGTGGGTGGATCGTTGAGGTTTTATGGGGGCATGGGCCAGCTCGGGCCTGCTGGGATGGCACGTGGGCGGCAGGAGTGCTGTCTGTCCCCGGCCCGCCCTGTTAGGTGCTGTAACTGACCCTGCTGCTCTTTGCTCAGACCCCCTGCGTCTGTCCTCTCAGCATTCTGGCAGGAGCGTCAGTGGACTAGAGAAGGCGTGTGAAACGGACCCTGCCCCTGCCCTGCCCTGGCTAGGGCTATGTGGTGGGTGCGGTGCCTGGGCCTGAGTGAGTTCTGAGTGTGAGTTCTCTTCCTGAGGCTGGGTGGGGACAGAGGGAGCTAGGGTGACCTTAGGAGGGAGGCTGGACTGTGAGCATTCTGGGGAAGGCACCCCAGCAGTGCTAGAGGCCAGTGGTTTCAGAGCATGAGCATGGGCCAGGAGGAGGTGGTCTGGGCCAGGAGAAGGGCTGAAGCAGTCAGGGAGAAGTGGAACGAGTGGGAGAGGAGTGGTGCGGGGAGGAGGCCGCAGTGGGGTGTGGCTGCGGACAGACTGGGCAGGCTGGAGGGGAGGAGGGAGGAAGCAGGGCTGGGGGCAGATCCAGCGGCTGGGATCCCAGAGCTGCACCTGGGTCCCTGAGCACATCCTCTCTGAGAAGCAGTGGTCCCCAAGGTCACCTCTGTACACTTTTCCCCCTTAATCTTCGATGCCTACAGCCTCTTGCCTGCTTTTGACTTCTCAGAATGGAGAATACATAAATCCACAGTAACAAGTTTAGAAGAAAGACTTGGAAAACAGCTGATCAATTTTAGTTGGAGAATTTTATATTTTTTTCTTGGATTTGTATTAGAGTTTTAGTACAACCTAGTAATATCCTTTGTCAGTAAAACAGTTTCTAGCTTGAAGACTGATTTTAGGGGTTTATTTCTTGTTGTTTTAGTTTTTTGCCATAGGGCTCGTGTGCTTGCTAGAGAGAGAGAAATCACCGCCTAGCGGGGTGGGGAGGGGACGGCCATGCTGCAATCCCTTCTCCATTCTTCTCTCAGGATTTTGGGTATGCCTGCACATGCACCTGGTGTGATTTTCAAGCCACCAGATATAGGACTCGAACCACAATCAACCTCGTGGGAGTCCAGCACCTTAACCACTGTGTCACCTGCTGGCCCCTATTTTTCATTTTTATGGTTCATAACAGCAACAGTGGTTCATGACGAAGGATGCCGCCAGGTGCCCTAGCTCTGAGTCAGCGTTTATGGAGCAGGCTCTCCTCTCTCTGTCGTGCTCCTTCTCAGCCATTGCATTGTGTTCTGGCGCCTCTGCTGTGTGCGGCTCAGCCCGGAGACTTACCTTGGTAAGGCCCAGATCCCAGGATTACGTCATGGTTTGGTGACACAAAGGTGGTAAAAGACTCTGTGGAGGGACAGCCCTGTATCCTAGTGGTTAAGGCAGCCAGACCCCACATGGTCAACTGTAGTTTGAATCCCAGCCCTGGTACCTTGAAAAACAGACCAGGTACATGTGTGTGCATGCCCCAAATCCCAACAGGGTGGGAAACAGGGAAGAAGAGATTATCACATGACCACACCCCATTAAGGGTGCTTCTCCTCTCCCCCTCTGTCTCTCTGTTGAGTGTACATCCCCTCTGGCAATTAAAGAAAAATAAAGATTCAGTAAAGAACACCAAGACTTTGCCTGAGAGGAGGTTGAAGCTGCTGTGGGCTGACTGGAAGGACCCTAGGCCTCCGGTCCCAGACACACCCAGGGAGTTGCCTGGCCTGACCTCAAGTGTGTGCCCCAGGTCATAAGGGCAGTAGTAGTTGACACTGTCTTTAAATTCCCCAGAGTAAGAAAATGCTGATAGTCTGTCGTCACAGCCCATCGCCTCTCGCTCTCTCTGAATCTCTGTGCCGGCACCCAGAGGGGGTTGAAGAAGCACTTTTGGTTCCTTGAGCCATCCGGAGGCCACCACCACCAAACCGTGTTCTGGGAGCCTTGAGTAGGTCTTGCCTATGTGAATATTGGTCAAAGTCCGCCTCCCTTCTCCAGGCCTGCCAGCCACACCCTGTTACCAGCACCTCTTGGTCACTGTCAACATGATGGATAGCCCAGTGGGAAGGGCATCAGAGTCACTCCCTCTGGCCACCCTCCAGGGCAGGAAACACCCCCCTTTCTATGCCCCAGGCACCCTGTTCCTCCTCCATGGACGCTCTGACTCTTAGAAATTCTTTCTTTATTCTGTCCCCAGATCTGCCTCTTGGCAGTTTTCCTCGCTGACCTAGTTCTGCCTGTGGAAGCCGCAGAACAAAGGTCTGCAGGCCTGGCAGGATTCCACCGGAGACACTTGAAAGTAGGGCCAGCCCGGCAGTGCTGTGGCTCAGTGCCGTACAGGGGGGCCGAACCCCACACTGTGGAGTTTGAATCCCAACCCCACAGCCTGAAGAACATGCTGTACATGTGTGCGTGTCCAGGGCCTCAAACCAGCCATGTGGGATGGAGAACTGGAGGAAAAGAGACTGCTGTGACCAGGCCCTGCTGGGGTGTTCTCTCTCTCACTCTCTCTGTCTCTCTCGCACATGGCATTAAAAAAACAGTAGGTGGCACAGAGGTTGACATGGCTGGATCCTACACGGCCAGCCACGTGGCTCGAGTCGTGGACTCTGCAGCTTGAAATCATACCAGGCACATGTGCACGCATGCCCCAAATCCGGAGAGGAGACTGGAGGAGAAAGGATTGCAGCGTGGCCATCCTTCTTGGGCAGTGCTTTCTCACTTTCCCTCTCTTTCTGATGAGCATATGTTCCCTATAGCACAACACTTAAAAAAAATGACAGAGAGAAGAGCTTTGAAAGCAGTGCTCCCGGACACGCGTCTCTTCCCCGCCCACCTCCTCTGCCTTCCTCCAGAGGGTCTGCATTCTCCAGTGCCTTCAGCCATTCTTCACACGGCACAGAGGTTAGTCCTACGGGAGGTGACACTGCGTGCCTGCTGCATGCCAGGCAGTCGCCTTGTGTACAACTAACAGCCACCCTGCAATCACACTGCTGCCATGACCCCGTTTTACCAAGGAGACAGGAGCAAGAGGTCCAGTCTTGGCCAGAGCCGCACGCGTAAGCGGCAGGTGGAGAGTGGGTCCCTCTGAGCTCTGGTGCCCTCACACCTCATGACCCCTCCACCCAGTGCTGAACGGAGGCCATGGCGCACTTGGGCTGGCCCAGCTCTAATAACTTATTTTGCAAGAACTCAATCAACAGAAGCCTGAGTTGAACCATTTTCTGTGAAACCGCGTCAGAGTTTGTCCTGACGGAGTGAACTGCAGGGCAGAGGCCTTCGCTGTCACTGGCAGACGGTTTCGTCTCAGCTCTGCCAGGACCCTGCAGGGTTCACAAGGTAGGCTTAGATCAAGGTGGCGCACACGGACAGTTAATGCTTTCCTTTTCTGGACACGGTGTCTACTGGAATAGCTTTCTTTTTTTTGGAGAGGATTTTGCTATAGGGCGCAAGCGCTCGCCAGAGAGACAGAGAGAGACATAGAGACAGAAAGCGAGAAATCACCCCTCAGGGGGGATGGCCATGCCACAAGCCCTTCTCCTCCATTCTCCTCTCGGGATCTTGGGCACGCACACACACGCGCCCGGCGTGA